GCCCTGCCAGTCTTGGTGGAGGAGTAGCTTCCTCCGTGATGGTTCCTTAATTAGAGTATTGTTTCTTTCCTGATTAACTGGTGCTTATCTGGGTGTTGGCTGCTGGAGGGATGTGTTCTAGGTTATAATACCCTCATAACTAAATAGGTAATATAGGCTACTTGTTCCATGAAAGGTCTTGAAAAACAACTGGATAATGAACCTGATCGTGTTTATGTTGCTTTTGCTTGTATTTGCTCAAAGAATTTAAGATCTCACTGAATTAGAGAATCATCCACAGCTGACTCCAATTCAAAGAATACTTTGTGTTTATATGCTTAACCTAGCATGAGTCAATAATTTTCCGCTTTAAAGAAGATTGAATTTGTAAACAGAATAAATGTGCAGAAACAATTGTATAAAATGAAGGCCTCATAGATCTAGCAGAGGCTTTAGAACACACAGCATAGTTCAACAGGTTTGGTTGAAACCCCATATTTTCCAACACATAACAGGTCAGGTTGATTAAAAGATGCAAGAACTAGTACTTTTATAAATGTTAAGAAACTGGGATTAAAATTTTATGTGTGCTTGAGAATAAGTGGTATTAAAAGCAAGCAAGAATTGCAATGCAAAGATTTCAGATTTTGATTTAATGGAGTCTTCCCTAACTGTCCCGTTCCATACTGATATGTAAAAAAGACATGCTGCTTTTTTCCTTTTTCTTGAAGCTGGCTAAGCAGTTTGAGAGGCTGGATCTGATAATATTTAGCACCTCCATCAGCAACTTCTTATTGGCCTCTAATATTTCAGTAGGGTATAACATTGAACAGTACCATTGAAGTCGTAAATAACACAGTTGGTAAGACTCGAAGGATAAGTCCATTTCTTTGTCAAGTTGAATGTTTTATTGGATTCATACCAATTGAATACCACAGCAACACAATCATTGAAAGGGAAATTGGCCATGAGAAAGTGTTAGAAGAGAGCTTGTCAAACTACAGGTCAGGATCCCTCTGGGAACACAAGCAGCTTATGGTGACAGTTTCCTAGTTTGTTCAATTTTGCAGAGGAAAAATGGCAACACTATCAAATAACCTTTGCTCTTCATTTTTCCTACATAAGATGGCAGTGGGCAATTGATGTAGTGCAAAGTTTGAGAACTCCTGGGAGATTTGTTGCCCAAACCTCTCAAATCATTACTTTTATTCATGGGCTTGGGTATTGTTTATAATTTTAGAATAAATGCATTTATCATTTGAGGAAGTGATGGTACTGAAGAATTTGAGAACCAGGGGGCTGGAACACTGTAATGTAGGGGTAGACAAGCTGTGGCCCCAGGGCTGATTAAAAAAAGTCAAGATCGAAGCTGCATAATCAAAGACCTGGCCCTTTGTTTTGCATCTTTCATGACTGCCATCTTGACTTTTTTGATCCCTCTATGGATACCTCATGTGGCTATCAGGTGTTGCCAAACTACAACTCCCAATATCCATTGGACATATTGGCTAGGGCTGGTGGGACTGTAGTTCAGTACCCTTCAGAATGCCACGGCTTGCTTTCTCCTGAAGTAGTAATTACATCTCATGCTATGGGTTCCTATAAAATCTCAGAATCTAAAGTTATTTTTATTAATATAATTTAAGATTCCATCCCTCTCAGGTTATATTTACTATCATGATTAAGCTATAATATGGTTAGTTTATACAGTATTTGACTGAGTGTGTTGGATGAACTTTGCCTTTGTGGTTTCATGGCCATGGTTTATAGCTTAGCATTATATGTGAATAGTGAACAGACATTATTTGTTAAACAGACTTGTTTAACAAATTGTGATTAAAGCAAATAATGGTTTAGCATAATGGGTGAACCCACTTTTTCCATGTCTGTCCCTCTCCCTCAATACACACATAGATATGTATAGGCTAGATCTGATCTGTAGTTATGAACAATTGTGGTTGGGTTAAATTGTTTGACATTTACTCTATCACAATATACCCATACTCTTCTTAGAAGAGTCACAGGTTGTAGGGACATCTACCCACGTTCAAATAAATGCAATCACAAGACTCTTTCAGACCATCCATTTTAATGCACAAAGTTTGCAGACAATATGAATAAGGCTTGTAACCCCTTCCCACTTTTAGTCCTTGTGAGCAACAGCACAGGCTCTGTCTGCATTTCCTCCAGAGAGTTCTTATCATAGCAAATATGAGGAAGCAGTAATATTTGCACAATCTCTTTGTTCTCTTCCACTACCATAAAATTATTAGCATAGTAGGTTTATTAAAAGATCAGATATTAACTGAAATTACTTTGACCAAATGCTTAGAAGGGGGGAGGGCACTGAGAATTGCCTAATGTAAGGCTTTAACCCTCTCCACTGCCCCTGTGAGTATGAGTTTTAAATCCAGATATTAAACAATTTCTGAAATACAGGCCTTTATAAAATTACAGGGGAAGGAAGGAAGGAAATGCTTGATTACAAAGCTGTATTCTTGTTCTTCAGTAATTCTTATTTAATTGTATTTGCCATTTTATAAGGAGAATCCATTTTCCAATAGGATTCTGAGACTTTTGTCTAAATTTTCCTTCCATAATTCTCTGAAGGGGATATAAAAGAAATCTGTTATGGATTTATTTTATTTTAAAAAGTTGTCATCTGCCAAAGTAAACTCCATTGTAGCATGGACAGCAGTAACAAATGAGTCAGCTGATATTCATCATATATAGCAAGGAAAGTTCACTTAAGCCAAGATATATTTGGGAAAGCTGTATTTAAAAATATTAGAGAAAGTTGCCTAGTAAAAAGCACATATAGTAGAAAGTTCCATAAATTGCAAAAAATATATGTTGCAGAAAAATACATCCAAAATGTATATATTTTTCCACTTCAGAAGAACTCATTAATGGAGAATGAAAGACGACTGTACACATCTGAACAGCAGGACTTGAGAAGAAGCGCTTGCTCAGAAATGGAACCTAAAATATTAAAAGCTGAGAGTGTATGTGATGTTCTAGCAGCTTGTACCTCTTAGGACTTCAGTGCTGGGAACAATCAGTGTGTCCACACAACTCATAAAATCGGGATAGGTAAAGCCCTAGCAGATGCATTTGCACAACATGCTAAGCCAGGTTTACTTAATCTTGGTCAGTTGTTGTGGCTCAGTGTATTCTTCTAACCAGCTTCTCTGGTTAGTTCAAGATATTTTAAAACACCTGAAAATAGATTAACCATATAGACTATGTTACCATGTAGGGTAATTTGTTCCTCTTGTAAAAAGTATCCTCCCTTATTACATATGCCCATGCTTTTTTCTCTTGGACTGATGTTGGACCTCCACTATTTAAGCACCCTTATCTATCTGAAATTTATGCTTCAGGAGTGCCCCTGTGGTACCCATAATAGTACCCATAAAATCCCTTTTCAAAGGCTTTTAATTTAACAGGATAAGTATTAAATATTTGGGGAGTATTGTTACCAAGAACATCTCAAATTCAAAATCTCAGATTCTGTTTCTGTCCTGGTACTTTTTAGAATGGGACCCTTGACCAATCTGCTAATTCTGCTGTAAGTCACTGCCTTTCTGTATTCTTGACCTGGATTGATTGATAGCCACCCCTTTCATCAAAGCAAATCTTGTTGTTCCCAAATATCTGTGCCTTAAAGAAGCCAGGCAGATACAATTTCTTGGAATTTTAAACCCAGATTTGTTAAGAAGTTGGGTAAAACTGAATAATAGGTATCACATAGCAATGACAGAGATCAGATTTACAAGTGTGATAAGCCTTGTAATTCATTCCTTTTCTCCTAAACCTGTGTGTGGCAAAGAAAGCAGTCCAATTGAGTCAATTCATTAACCACAGAATGCATTGCCTCATTTGGTTCAAATAGGTTGACAGATAACTTCGGATGGGAGAATTATTGTATGGTAGCTTCAGTCTACTTCCATTTAACTGTGAGTAAATACAAGTGAATTTAAGTTTTATATAAAAAGTATGAAATTTGATTATGTGAAATCCTTTATTATGTTCCAGAAATGTTTACAGGTCAGAAAACAGTCTCCTTTCAAGTGCCACTTTGCAGCCAGTACGATTAGCTTTTGGACAACTGCAAGTATGGAAGAGTAGGGGGCAATAAATATTAATTCTCATAAATATTAATGAGAAGTGTTTTGGATTCTGAAGAATTCATGTTGGTACACAAAATTATACTTGTTTTAAGCAGTTTTCTCTCAATGCTCAAATTATACCTGAAGGCCTTGGACATACATCTTTAATATCAGGTCTAATTTATATCCATACACAATAAGGATGAAAGTGTAAATAGGATAAAAGCACAGATGAAAGAGTGTAGGAATTCTCTTGACTGTCTACATAGCTATAGATATACACAGTATGTATGCATGTATGTGTGTAAATGTACCTATATTTGTACATATGCATATCAGTGCCTCGTTTATTCTGGAAGCTACATGTTATATGTTTATTATGGAAAAGGCAGGTTATCTAGATAAGTTGCAGAACAGTGATGAAATTCTCCTTGTCTCTTAGCAGGAGATTAACAACTACCTCAGCACTGCATAACATACACCATTTAGTAAGCTATTGTTTGCTAGATGGCTAGCCCAGTTTACCCATAAGCTGTGAAATAATGCCAGGAAAGAAGCCATAATCCTATACCTATACCTATACCTCCTTTCTCAAGAGAAATTACCATTTAACTCTAACATGTATGATTATGTTGCAAATAAGGAAAAAAACCCTATAAAGCCCAACTTTATAGAGACTGCCTGTTCTGGCTTTTCAAGAGTTACTGTTAAAAGCTTGCTTGCACCTCTCAGGCCAGCCTCTAGTGATACAGATAATCTGGCTCCATTGGATTGATTGGACAGATTGATCGATCAATTTGTTCAAAGAGCAGGCAAGTTTCACAGCATTTCAGCAATGTTAAAAGGTGAAACATGTATATATGTCTCTGCATGCAGAGTTGGGAAGCAAGAATTTTACTTGTATATGCTTGTGTGTATGGGGTCACATATATAAAACTATAAACTTCATTAGCTGAAATGGTGAAGTAGGCATCAGCTTTAATTCAGAAAACAGTTATAGTTACCAGATAAGTGGAAAACAATATGTTGGGTTAGCATAATATGGAGCAAGTGCTTTTTGAAGGGTCATCTTCAGATCGGTTACAAATTGCCACCCTCCAAAACACAAATTGTATGTGATGCATTTTTTAAAAAAAATCCAGCTACAGATCATTAATTTCCCTAATTTTAAACAGATTTGTAACTCATAACTCATGAAGTATCTTTTTCCATCAGTGCTTCTGCTGTTATCATCACAACTACTTCTGTCATTTATTGGTGGATGCCAAACCAAATACCGATTCCTCAATCTACAAAGCTTTCTCATTTGGCTGATGACATATTTCTGACACTTCCATGGTTTCATTTTCTCTGGATCTGGCAGTAAAGGCTCATTGAAAACACCAGACCAATAATCTGAAAAAGAAAAAAGAAAGATGTTTATGGTATTGTTTGGCAGCTTCGGATTCCCCACATAACAGTTCAGTCCAGAGCAAGAACATTTTGTTTGCAAACTTCTTGGATTTATGTACTAATGAAATCTGCTGTTTAAAGATTGCTTCCAACACCATTTTTAGAGGTATGGTTCTCAGATAGTGGGATTTTAATGAAACCCATGTATACCACAGTGTGGGAAACTTAAATTTATCCTGAAAGATGGATGGCTTTAACGGGTGAAGACAAGTTGTGAGATTCTTACTGCTGCTCTGTATTGCAATACTTGTGGGAGAAAGATCAGATTTCTTGAGAGATGAAAAGATTTTTCATACTGCTTCCTGTCAACATTAGAATTCTTAGTTTGAAAACTTTGTATTGGAAAGCCTTAATCATAAAGATACGAGTTATTTTCATTTTTATAATAAATTACAGCAAAAACAACAGTCTTGTGTAAAGATTAACTAATGTATTCTTGCATAAATTTTCATCAAATACTATTTACTACATCAAACACATGGAGTATAAGCCCATGAAAGGAAAAGGAAAGGTTTTTTGTAAATAGTTTGTCTTGAAGGTGCTACAAGATTCTTTGTAATTTGAATTCTTGTGCAGCTGTTATAAATGTGGGGATTTGTTGCTCTGGATAACTGGTCACTTCACTTTAACAAAATATTAATAACAAATTAAGCTAGAAATTGGAGCACATTCATATATGTTTTGTTTTAAGTAAAACTGAAACTGACTACCAAATGGAACTTTTTCACTGAAGCTTTAAAATCATCAATTTTAAAGCTATCCAGTGTGCATGAAGAGCTAAAAAAAATCAGAACTCTAGATTTGAACAAAAAATAATATTTTGAAAATACCTGCATCAGACAGATATATTTCTGTGCACAAATCATCTCTGACTACAGATTTATAATTGATAGTTGAAGCAAACAGTGGACAAAAAGGCTGCAGAAAAAGAGGTAGCTATTATGGCAAGGCTGTTTGCTTCACTGTTCCACAGATACAGGTAACTGGAATTTGCTCTAAAATAGCTAGTTATAGGACAGTGTGGCTAGTATACATCAGCTGTAGGAGAGGTAAGCAACCTGTGTCCCAGGACCACATGCAGCTTTGAGCCTCTGTTCTCCAGCCTTCAGTGCCTTGTTTAACTACTACAGTTGAAAACAATTTCTTATTATTTTGAGACAGAAAACATGAAATCTCTAGTGAAAGCCCTATAATAGCAGAGAGTAAAACAAAAACAAAGAGTTCACACAAGCCAAAGAGACAGAGAAAAATAACAGCCTCCCTCAGTATAAATTCTTGCCTCATGCAATGAAGGCTTTACCCTTCCAGAAGAGTGAGCTGTAGCAATAAGTTGCCAAATGTCCACAAAGGGAAGCTTAGAGCTCCAAGCAACTGTCATCTACAGAGCTCACTATTAACTGTTAACCAGCTGCATATGTTACACCTTTTGCTGGAAATTGTGTTACCAGAAACTAACTAAGAATCTATCTGGAAAAGCAAATAAAGCTAAATTAGGTAGTTTCCTTTTCCATTAAAAAAAAACTTTAGATATCACTACTGTGATATGTATTCCCTGGAGACACACTCCACAGGCCAGGAGGTTCAGTCTGCACGTATTAGTTTCTGTTCCTTGTAGTTAGATTCAAGGTAGGGTTGAGGAAAAAACAAGCAGGTTGAAGCTGTGAGTGGCTGCACATGAACTCATAAGAGACTATTAAGTTTCTGAGATAAAACTGAAGGATGTATTATAAGTAGCACAACAACTATACAGTAGATACTACTATTACTGCAATTCTCTTCTTGTCCTCTTGCAGATAGCATTTCCATTGCTCCTATCCTTCAGGTCTTCAGATTCTCATTTCCTATAACCATGTCATTTGTTTTTTTCTGTGGAGATTTATAGCCTGGTCATTCTGTGAGGGCCTGAAAGAAGCTTCTGATGTGACATGGAGCATCTTCTTACTGCCTTGTTGCTAGTTATGACTCTCATCCATTTAGCTTGCTTCTTTATTTGGTTCTCTTCCTTTGTGAATAGTTGTTTCCTCTATCAATATCTGTTACAGCCCTGTTGTTTTATCCAAGGAATACTCATCCTCTCTTTTTATGTGATTACTCACTCATCCAATCTGCTTGTTTTTTCCTATCCACTCAGAGGGAAAATGCTTAGGGATATCTCCCTTGAACTCTTCCTCCAAATTTCTATTATTTCATTTGGTGATTCACTCCACTATCTGCTTTATATCTTATTTACAATTTCTGTATCAGCCTCTGCTTACTCAACAGGAAGTCTATCAGGACACACAGCTTGTTTTATTTCCTTGTTTCTTCTTTCTGTTGAACTCCACTGTTAAGGAGGGTGACTTAAAAGTCCAGCAGGATCCCACTCATAGCCTCTAATGAGCAGGTCTTTGTTCAGGTCACATCTCAACTATTTTTCATATACTTCACAAACAGTATTTTCCAACTTACCTGGATAAGAAATAGGAGTATGCAACAGAAGTGGTTCCACTTATTCAGTGGGCCTGATCTTTCATGTCTACCTTTGCCTTAACCCCATCTCCTCAAAAAGGTTGGCAGGGCTTTTGAATCTAAAAAATGGGAAGGTAGCAGCACTACCAGCAGCAGCCCATTTCCCATTTTCACCCAGAAGTATTCTTCATCAAGTCACTGTCAGTACTGTTGAGGTAAACTCATGCATCTCCATTTAGTGGGTGACTTTGATCAGCCACAATCATTCAGTTTAGTGTACTACTGATAGATTGCTTGCGATATGATAGCCAGTTGAAATAAGACTTTATTTGTACCTCAATAAATGCCAGTCCAAATGCTATCCCCATAACTATGACCATATTGTTCTTTAAGATTTCCATAATCACAGTTGAACAACTCTGAAAGATAAGGCAAAGACAAAAATGATAGAAGTCATATGAATATTAGTCTAACTTCTTCCTCAATTCTTTTCAATGTGATCATTTTCATAAGCCTCCATCAATGCATCAGATATTAGATAGTAGATTGTACATCTTTATATAAAGGAAGACTTTGGTGTAATTATAGTTAGTCTGGAATATAAAAGAGCAACGCATAGGTAAAAAAATTATTTGGAAGAAATGCTTTGGATATTACACAAGGGTGAGCACAACATCTCTCTGTTATTCATTAAAGTAACCCAACTTTCACCATGCCTTGATCTGAGCCTGAAGAAAAGAAGTGTCACTGTGTTTAGGAATCCACTCACTAAAGCATTAATTAATTAATTAATTAATTCATTTTATGTGGCTGCCCACTTGCCAAGTGACTCTGATGGCTAACATTAAAAACATTTTTAAAAACCACCAGTTGTTTAAAATGCTATATATAAACATATATTATTCTGGAATCAGTAACTCACATAACACATACTACATGTACTAAAGGTTCACATAATATCCTGGCCCAGTGCTTGAAGGAAGGATCTTAAAATATAAATACCCATTTTGGTATAATGCAGTAGTGGTTAAAGCCACTGAGCTAGAAACAGGGAGTCTGTGAGTTCTAGTTCTGCTTTAGGCACAAAGCCATCTGGGTGACCTTGGGCCAGTCACCCTCTTTCAGCCCTTGGAAGGAGGCAATGGCAAACCACTTCTGAAAACTTTGCCAAGAAAACTTCAGGGACTTGTCCAGGCACTTGCCAGAATCAAGACTGACTTGAAGGCATGAGAAACAAACAAACAAACAAAAAACACAGTAACAGACCTGCAAGGTTTTCATTAGCTTTCCCCTAACCTGGTGTTTGGGGGACGCGGTGGCACAGCGGCTTAATGACGCTGAAAGTTGCCGGCCATAAATAGTCTACGCTTCAGCGGTTCGAGTCCAGCCTTCGCGTTAACAGGGTGAGCTCCTGTTTCCTC